TCGAGCACCTCGGGAGAAAGGTAGTCGCACGTGCCTGTGGGCTGAGAGCAGTAGAAGGCCCATACCTTGCGGTCTGGCTTGGATGACGTGGTGGCAGCGTGGGCTTGGGAGGCAAAGTCGCTGAAGGGAGCGGCGCTGGAAAAGTCGCACAGTTTGAGATGGCCGCTGCGGTCGAGTAGAAAGTTGCCGGGCTTGATGTCGCGGTGGGCAAAGCCCTGTGCATGGACCCAAGCGATGGCCTGCACCATGTCGACGCTGTAGCGGAGGATCCAGTCTTCGTTGAGAAGGCCGGTGGGAGCACGGCCGGGGTAGTCGGGGCCGCAGCTGCTTGCGGCCATGAGGAGCTCGCTGAAGTCGCCGCTGGGTACATACTCCATGAGCACATGGACGGAGTTTTGCGTCTGGAACGCGGCGAGCAGCTGTGGCGTGAGCAGCTGGTGGTCTTGATGCGACTCGAGTGAGGAGTGGGGCTGGCGCTGCAGCAGCTTGGACTCGTTGATGGGAGTCTGGATGGCGGCATTGCGACGGGCAAAGCCCTTGACGAGCGACTTGAGCACGTAGACACGGCCGTCGAGGCGGCTCTTTACGACCTCGACGAGGCTTCCTGCGCTCTTTTGGAGCACCTTGATGGATTTGAAGTCTTGTACCTGCAAGCTGAGCGTACGGAGATCTCGGAGAGTGGGAGCGGCTGCGATCCGGAAGGGGTTTGGGTCGGTACTCGCGGCAAGACCGTCGGAAGACCACGAGATGACGAGGCTGATGTCGAGGAATCTACCCAAGGTGGCGGCGGAAGAGGCGTGGATATGACTCGGGCTGCTACGGTCGGCCTGTGATGCATGTGATGCATCTGATCTTGAGCGGACGTTGTCGAGATTGCTGAGGCTGAACTGGAAGTCGCGCAGAGCTGCCTTGACGGAGCGTGTTTGCAAGATGTGACAAATGGTGTCGTGCCGTTGTTGCCAACAGGGCGAGTCGGGTGCCATGGTGACTGTGACGTGATGAGCAGCAGCTGCGCCTTAAGCATACGCAGCCGCAGATCGAGGGATGCCTAGCTCGGAGCGAGAGGGCATGGACAGGGCTGCCAATTGGCTGATGCCGGTATACGCTGTCGGCTCAGCCGCAACGTGAGATTGGGTGTGAGTGCTGGGCGATGCTATGTCGACATGGCTCGTGAGCATGTGGTGGTGGGAGTGCGGATGAGCCGACGTAGACGCAGTGCGGATGAGCTTGTCGGGATCGCCGACCAAGATGGACTGCTGGTGATGAGAGTGTGGAGCAGAGACGACGAGAATGCAGTAGGCAGGTGGGAAAGCGACTGCTGTAGCTCGCTCGCCTCGGTCTCGGCTTTGTGCGGTGGAGGCTTGCAGCTGTCTAAGCTCCAACCTGCATCCCACTCGTGCTGTGCTTTCGTGCTGTGCTTTTGCACGGGCTGACAAGAGTCTGAACTGGATCAAGCAGTCCGATGGGCAGCGCTCAAGCCACAAGCTGTGTGCATCATTCGGACGCTTTGATGGAGAATGTTTGTTGCGCCTCGCTCGCAGGGAGAGGGCCCGGTCGGGCTGTCGGCAAATTATTGTGTTTTGAGTGTTGGTCTTCTGCGCTCCACATTTTGGCGCTGCCGCCGCCGACTGGATTCGCGCCGCCAAATTGGCCAAGTTCGGGACGCGCTCCCGCGTGTTGCTCTCTCTCTCGAGATGCCTCGCTAGCCACCACCGCCAAGTTCACTCGGACGCTTCACATGCTGCATGAGCCCGACAGGAACACAAGGCCGTGCCATTGTCTTCACTCGCGCTCCAACACGCTGTACCTTTCGCTCGGCCTCCAACCATACTCTCGCTCGACAGTGCCGACAGCCGAGGTTTTACCATTCTAGCGCTGCATCCGCGTACGACCCAACAAGCTCGACCGACAGGGCCTTGTGCTGATTGGAGAGGACGAGGCAGGAGGCTTGCGGTGACTATCAGCTTGTGCTGCAGACTGCAGTACTTGTTGTGTGTGTGTATAGAAGGCAATGTTCGGAGCTCGGGAACGGTGATACGAGATATGCACTCGGCAGCGGGGGTCGGTGTCGTTCGGTGCATCCCAGCCTCGCGGCCTCTGCCAGCACGCAGCGGCTCGGCTTTCTCTAAGCGACGAGTGTGCTGCCAGCTCGGCTGTCCACCCTCGCTCTCGGCGACACCCGTTCGTCCAGATTACAATACACTTCCCTCGGTCATAGCGGCGAGGCATTGCAACTCTTTGCAGACTGTCTTCCCCCGGTGCTGCAGGTCCATGCATCCTCGCTATCACTTGCCTCAACGCTCAAAAGAGTCGCACGACGCGCGCTGGACCCCCCCCC